CCGCGGCTGCGCCGCGCGAGTGAGCGGGGCTGCGCCAAGCCGGGCCTAGGTAGGACGGACCTGCCCCCCTGCCTCTGCCCCCATGTCCAATAAGAAGAGACCCGGCTTGACACCTGCCTATATACAGAGGACGAGAGCAACGTCTTCAGCGCCGGTCTGTGGAGGGGGGGGACACCAACCCAAAAGACAAGCCAAGCCCAGGGCAGAGCGGGGGGCTCGGTGGCACTATAAAACCCCCCAAGACCATGACTTCCAGTAAAATTGAGATGCCAGGGGAGGTGAAGGCAGACCCTGCAGCTCTGATGGCATCTCTGCATCTGCTGCCTTCTCCCACTCTCAACCTTGAAATCAAATACACCAAGGTAAGTTGTGCTCGTTTGTTCTGGCAAGGGAAATTCATGGCTTTCAGTTAAATCAGTTTCATTCTGCCCCAACCAACTTGAGTGTTGAGATTTTAAAAAAAAAAAAAAAAATCACTAGAAGACTGTCTTCAATCTGTAACAAAGGAAACGGATTTTTACCCTGTAATCATCTGAAAAACCACAGAGTAATAGAAAAGCAAATTAGATATGTGGGGACTGGCTTTGCCACTTCTATTTAAACATATTTTCTACGGAGCTGTTGGGGTTTATTTTCAGTGCAAAATCAGTAGTTCTCAAATACGTTTCAGTTGCTTTTGATGTACTTCAGAGGAAGTTACTATAAATACTCGTATATCTCAATTAGAAAATAAAAGTGTTTTCTTTCTTGGATTATCCTGTGTGCTCAAGGGACCCTTTTACAATTCCTGGAGGACTCCTAATACTACCAGGTTGTTACAGCACTGGAGCAGGTCTCTCGATTAACTTCCGTGACACTTGAATACACCCTTGAACAGTATTGCAAGACGGAATATTTTTTTCATAATTTTCATAAAGAGAGGGTTAAGAACAAACCCATTGAGTCAATGTAAAAAATCTCTTTTTCTGTGGTGTATTATGGGACTAAATTGTTTTTGTCGATTAAAATGGACTTTAAGAATAGTCATTTACTTGTAGATGTAATTTGGATTTTTAAATTCGTTTATATATCTTGAATCTTTGCATCTTTAGTTAAAGAATGTTTTCATTTCTGCTGGAGAAGTTTCAATTGTATTGTATAAACAGATGACAATATGTCAGACTTTGTTTCTAATTACTGAGTAACAATAGGAAAATAAGCACATCAGCACTGGAAAAAGGTGATAACATTTTTATCTGCTGGAAATACAACTTCAGGAGCTTTAAAGCTGATAGGAAACTCATTTTGGCCAATGTAGTGTAATTTTTTCCTCCATATCATCACTTTAAAAGCTTTTTCATCTTTTCTCTTTTTTAAGTGGGTGCCAAAACTAATTTGTCCTCTAATTTGTTACAGCAATTCCATGTTCTATAAGAATGTTTCAGAGGAAAGTTAACTATTTTAGATTTCTTAACATTTTAATGCAAACTGCAATATGCAAACTAAAAGATGCACATGGTTTCTTGCATATAATTTATTTGAAAACAGTTTAAATAAGGAATGTAGTTAGTTGATGTTGTGTGGTGTAACACTTCAGGAACAGTCACGCTGTGTAAACAGTATTTGGCATGAATTTTCTTTATTGCTGGTTTCAGTGTAAAATATGTTTCTGGAGTGTTTGTTGGATACTACTTGGGGATAGTATCACAGGTTCCATAAGTATACTTGAGTTTCTGTGTTCTAAAACTAGAGAATTTGTTCTAAAAATCTCTGAAAAAGATAACAATCATCAGCAATCATGTCTTCCTATCTGTAAGAACACAAGCTGGATAATAATTCAGAATATATAGTGCCATCATCTCAGAAATATGTAAGTTGTTATACATTTTATACTAATGGAACAAGTAAAAGGAAGTTATTTTATTTCAATATTAAGCCAAAAACAACAGCAGCATATTTCTTCTAAGACTGGTTTTGAGATATCAGGTAATTCCTCGCTGCTTTTGAGAGAAATTTACATTAGGACAGGTATCCAGTATTTCACTTGGCATATCCTCTGTCTCTGTTTTTCTATCTTTCTCGCTCTTCCCTCTTTTTTCTCTTTCTCTGCAGGAAATACAAGTGATTTATAGATAATTGGAGTCTTCAGCTTGGAGTCTTGTCTTGGGCAGGACTTTTATCCAGGATCCACTTTCACACCTATTACAAAGAAAAACAATCAAAAATGAATAAGGGATTGTAACTTGATACTTTATTTTGGGGGAGTGGTCACTTCATGTCTTAAATGACAAACAACTTCCATAAACAATAACATTAGACTAAAGCACTTTGGGGGAAAAAAAAAAAAAAACAAAACCCAAACACCCCCCCTCAAAAAAAACACCCAAACCTTGTAAAATCAGACATCTGTAAGCACTCTTGGCAGCCTCTCCTGCTTGTTAGCTGAGAATTTTAAATACACAACCAGGACACAGAGTTCTTGAACTCTTTATTACAGCTGTCTCTGAATGTAAAATCTTAACCATTTGGGAGTTAATTCTTTATGAAAAATAGAAGTACCTGTGAACATTCATGCTGAGAGAAATAATTTTTACAGTGTGTTTTGTCAATTAAATCACATTTCTGGAATTCTAGAATTGGGAAATAAGACAGTTTTGTTAGGATAGAACATGTTAAAATTCCAGGGATCCCGAAACGATAATTGTTAAAGATTTGTAATATGTACTAGGGAAAAGTAAACTTAATCTTTAAAGCACTAAATTATTCTTGGAATTACTAGGAAATCTCCTTCCAAGGTAACAGATAAAACAAATACTACCCTTGCAATTTTCATGTACTCCATTATGTAGCAGAATTATTGAAACTTGTGAAATACTCCTCTGGTAGTTCTAATGAAGTGAGCAGAAAGCTATGTGTGACATCCTTCTGATCTGTACACCTGATGTAGCACACAGACGCAACACAGTTTTTCACTGGTCAGAAAAAAAATGTATTTAGTGATGAAAATTACATGATGCCATGTTTTTGTGTAAGATGTGCAGCAGTATCTGCTGTGACTTCAGGACTGGGAAGTCAGCCTATGCTTCTATGAAAAAAATGCCATTAGAAGTATTTTTCCCAGCTTTTTAATACCTTGTGAAAAATACAGTGGTTTAGATGTGTGGTGAACAGGATGTGAACCAGACATGAAGATGAGTGTTCAAGCACACAGGGTTAAGTTTTTCTGTGCGGCTGGCTGGCAAGTACTAAAATTCCCGCTTGCGCGATTCTCTATTCATTGTGACAACTCTTTAATTCTCTACTTCTTAATGTAGCATTTGGGGAGGGATTGCATCTGCAGAACAGGGAATCTTCCAGTATTGCATGGAATTAGTTTATTCTACAGCGCTGTAGCACAGCAAACCCTCCTTAGACTTGTCAGGAGCATGTTGGCAGCACCGTGCTCCCTCCGTACATAAGGGAGCGTGTAGGTAGGAAGCGGATCCAGCCCTCTCCGGGGCAACAAGTCATACTTCTACAGATTTCACCTTTATGTCAGAAACTCTTCCAGAATGGGCTGCTGCAGAACTACCAGATGCATGAGATAAGCCACAGCACGTCAGCCACTAAGGATGCATTATTAATTGTTTTGTACAGGAAGCATGTCCCTGAGTTGACGGCTCTGAGAACCCGATCGCTTCTGACGGTGATCAGAGAATTCTCAGTATTATATTGGTGCCTCCCTCTTTCATGCTCTTACAAACTCCATTCTCCCTCCCAAGTCTCCCAAGTATCTGACAGTAGATGTGGAATCAGCCCGAAGGATTGAGCCCTTGGGAACGTCTTCCCGCTATCTCCGTCTGAGGGACTGAAGGTATTTCTACAGGATGCGGCTATCCTGTCTTTGTTACGGCATAATCAAATCTGCTTTACAAAGTGTTTTCATAGTGGCTTTAGTAGGTCACACTGACTTTAAAAGACATCTTAGTATGAAATGAGGACCCCAGGGTTCTGTCCTGTCCTAGCTCTGACACTACACCATGTAACTGAACGAACAAACATTCTCAGTTTGCATCACACTGGGGATGCTAATCGGGCCGGATGTTTTACATTTTGTTTATTGCTTTCTTGCTGGTGTAAGTCTGAGAGTTGAAGAACTTGAGCATAAGGGAAGGTTGAAGAATTATGGTTTTGAGAGCTTTTTATAAAGAGGTGCTCCAAAGGGGTGAAATTACAGTGCTGTGGTGGGGAAGAAGTACGGAAATGTTTCTGTAGTAATAGCCTGTGATTTGGGTGACAATGTATTTGTCCTGTGTAAAAGGGTTTCCTATAGGCTAAGATCAGGTCAGTCTCTAAACACAGACCAGGTGAACTACCCAGCACTGCAGCAGACAACTGTACGCAGCAGCTGCTGTTCAGTGTATGCAAACTGCTTCTGGGTAGACAAGAACTACCAAATATATTTCAAATTCTCCTATGATAAACAGTTGAGTTTGAAGTGTTTTGTTACTAAGTTTCTGTGTTTTCATTCCCATTGTGCTTTCTTGGCATTGCCCAGAAATGAATGTTGCAGAACACTATTATAAATTCTTTTCACCAAACTTTCCAGCATGTGTTTTCCAGATAAAATTCTAGACTGACATTAAACTAGGAGACAGGAGACCTGTTTTATTTAGAATAATATTCAGATTTTTTTTGTCATTTCTTGAACTGAAGACAAGCTTTGGCAAAACTCGGGTAAGAGATGAATACGTCCTATTTCCCACCTGTCTTTCGCTGGAAGATCTCACTACTTTAATGCTTTTTGAGTAAGATTCAGTTACTAGTACCTGAAGAAACCAGCTAGCCTTTTGGGTCAACTCAGAGAGCGCTGTCCAGTTACAAAAAATAGGACATAGAAAATCAGAGATGTCGGAATGAAGAGCAGACAAACAGAACAGCTACTTTTCCCCTTTGTGGAACACTTGAGCATCTGATGCTGACACTAGATGTGTCTCTCTGTATCATCTTATATAAAGTTTTAGTGTATATGCTGTGTTTAGATTTACTGTTGATTAAATCTACAGTTTGAATTCTCTTCTAGTGTGTTCATACTTTGTGGTTAGTATCACAATCCATCAATCCATACAGTAACTGCAAACTATTTAGGCACTTCTTTCCAATTAACAGCCTGAACAGAGGACTCTTTCTTTCTTCCCAAACCTTTAAGATTTTTTGCATAAAACCAATTTATCCAAGTTTTGCATGAGGGATCAAGAAACAATTGCAGTCTTACGCATATTCGGTCCTCTGCCTTTGCCTACCCCAGTACAGCTGCTATAACCATGTTAATTCAAGAGCAGTAAAAATACACAAACTGCCAGGCTGAAATGGGCAGTAAGTAGGTAACTACTGCAGATAACTA